GTCGCGTCACGATCGTCGGTCACGTGACCACGGCGAAAATTCTGAACTTTGTTTGACTTCTTTGGCCTTTAACACTAGCTACTGTCATGCGGGAAGTGATAATATCACAACGGACATAACCCATTCACTAGCATATATACCTTTTAGAAAACCTAAAAATACTTCATCGTATCCATATATTTATAGTAAAATAATTCATCACCTTACCCTTTTTGCCAATTTTTTTCCAGTACCAAAACTTTGAAGCTTCTTTATCCGTTCAATATCCTCTGAGGGGACTTGTCCTAAAACTCGCACCAAAACATTTTTAAAATTCTCCACCTCCTTTTCAAGAACGCCTGTCCATTCACCATGCTCTACTCGTACAAATAACGCTGTGGAAATCCTGACGATATTAAGAGGCTCTCTTGTTAAAAGAAATTCTTCCATTTTTCGATATAAAAAAGTGATGTTACTGTAAAGTTCATTAAATAAAAATAACATAAAACGCTAATTTCGACATATTACCCTTTAAACAGGTTTCGCCCGTCCATTTCTGGTCTCATTTAAGTATAGATTTAGGAAGTGTGGAAGTGGGCGATGCACGACGAAAGATTTTTTACAATGAAATATGCATATGCCATGTGTCTGTTTATCGAATATAGATGATCAGGATATCATCCAATTAAATTTTAAATCGAAATATATATAATATACATATAAAATCACATGTAATATATACAGTAACTACGTTAATCAATAAAATAATTATGTACTAATAAACTTATTTTATTCTTTAATATAAATTTATAAAATTTACATCCCGTCGATTAATTTTTAAGTAGTTTATATATATATAATTCTATATAATATTATATAATAAAAACACCTCTATATTTAAATTACTGAACTTTCCGAACTGGGTATTTCGGTTATAGAACCGAGTATTTAGAGCAAATACACGGTTCTCGGAAATCCGAAGATCATCGACACAATAATTAAAATAGCAATGCGCATTAATATAGCTTGACTTAGAAAATTGCGTAACAGGATAATTATCGAGAGTTGACTGTAATCAATAACCTCGATTGTCGACTTTCAAATTTAGGTTTCATAGTAGGCTTGCAACACATTCCAAGTTTCACATTTAAAGGATTACACAAATTTTATTTAACTTTGTATTCCGATTTGTAATAGTATTGTTCCCAATGTTGTGTATAATAGAAAATTTTATAATTGGTTTAAATTACCTGGGTTAAAATGCAGTATAGGTGACACCCATTGTTAATTCCATTGTTGATCATTAGTAGATTCACCTATACTGCATTTTAACCCAAATTTTATTTAATTTTGTATTCAAAAACCAAAACAAACAAAACAAAACTCCTTAGTAATTCTATATCTATGGTAACGCGATGTTGTGTCGCTTCGTGTAACAATAGCAACATGGGTGGTGAAATGATGTAAATTACCTGGGTTAAAATGCAGTATAGGTGACACCCATTGTTAATTCCATTGTTGATCATTAGTAGTGTCACCTATACGGCATTTTAACCCAAATTTTATTTAATTTTGTATTCAAAAAACCAAAACAAACAAAACAAAACTCCTTAGTAATTCTATATCTATGGTAACGCGATATTGTGTCGCGTCGTGTCAACAAGGCATATAAATAGGATAGTTTTAGAGTTAGTTTCGGACGACAAGTTCTAAGTTCTAGATCAGAGACTTAAAAGTTTCGTTTTAGAACACTTCTCTGTTTTTGCACACTCGCGC